TAAAATTTAAAAAAAATTTAAAAAAAAACAAGCATGTTTTGCAATAGAAGTAGTATGTGATGCCGTATGTCACGTGATCACAACTGAGCCAATGGTTCTTGAAATTTGCTATACAAGTACTTTGGATTACAAGCACGTTTCTGGAATGAATTATGAATTATGAATTTTCAAACCATACAAACTGAAGTTTTACTTATTATTTGTATAATATTTCATTTATATATTTATATTAATATAATTTATACAAATATATATCATGAAATGATTAGACAATTTGAACATTCAAATAAAGACTTTTTTTTCCTGCAGATTTCCCATATTATCCCTGTCCCTACACATGCATAGCCTCCTTATCAACATCACTAACCAGAATGATACATATTTTTTTAGCAAGGGTGAACGTGCACTGACACATCATAAACAACCGAAGTACAACTGTTTACTTTGGGTTCTTTCTTGGCATTGTATATTCCGTGGGGTTTGGCAAATGTATAATCCTGTATATATATATATATACATAATATAATCATTATAATATCATACAGAGTATTTTCACTGCCCTGAAAACCCTCTGTGCTCTGCCTATTCATCTTTCCCTGCCACCTTGCAACAACCTGATCTTTTTATTGTATCCATAGTTTTGCTTTTTCCAGCTGTCATTTAGTTGGAATTATATAGTATGTAGCCTTTTCAGATTGGCTTCTTTGACTTTGTAATATGCACTTAAGGTTCCTTCATGTCTTTTCATGGCCTATTAGCTCATTTCTTTTCAGAACTGAATGATATTCCATCCTCTGGATGTATCACAGTTTATTTATCCACTCACTGTCTATGGGAAACTTGGTTGCTTCCAAGCTTTGGTAATTATTAATAAAGCTGCTGTAAATAATCTGTGTGCAGATTTTTGTGGGGTCGTAAAAGTTTTCAACTCTTTTGAGTAAATACCAAGGAAATATGATCGTTGGATCATGTGGTAAAGGTATGTTCAGTTTTGTAGGAAATTGCCAAACCGTCTTCCTAAGTGGCTGTACCATTTTGCACTGCAGACCATCAGTATGTAAGAGCTCCTGTTGCTCCATGTCCTGGCCAGCATTTGATGTTGTCAGTGACTCATGCCAGCGTACTGGTATCTTAGTGTTTAATTTGCATTTCTCTATGATGTGGAGCATCTTCTATTATGCTTACTTACCATCTGTATATCTTCTTTGCTGAGTTGTCTATTAATATTTTGGCCCATTTTTAGTCAAGTTATTCATTTTCTTATTATTGAGTTTTATTTCTTTTTAATTTTTACTTATTTATTTTATTAATTTTTTTTAATGTTTATTTTTGAGAGAGAGAGATAGAGCATAAGTGGAGGAGGGGCAGGGAGAGAGGGAGACACAGAATCTAAAGCAGGCTCCAGGCTCTGAGGTGTCAGCACAGAGCCCAACTTGGTGGTCAAACCAAAAACCATGAAATTATGACCTCAGCTGAAGTCAAATGCTTAACTGACTGAGCCACCCAGGTGCCCCTTATTGTTGAGTTTTAAAAGTTCTTTGTATACTGTGGATTACAGTTCTTTATCAGATGTGTCTTTTGCACATATTTTCTTCCAGTCTGTAGCTTATCTTTTCATTGTCTTGACACTGTCTTTGGCATAGCATAAGTTTTTAATTTTGATGAAGTCCAGCTGATGAATTCTTTCTTTAACGGATTGTATCTTTGGTGTTATACCTAAAAAGACCATCTAGATTTTCTCCTGTGCTATATTCTAGGAGTTTTATAGTTTTGCATTTTATGTTTAAGTCTATGATCCATTTTGAGTTAATATTTGTGTAGGGGATAAGGTCTGTCTAGATTCACTTTTTTGCATGTGGATGTCCGTTGTTCCAGCATTATTTGTTGAAGAGACAGTCTTTGGTCTATTGGATTGCTTTTGCTCATTTGTCAAAGATGATTCGATCATATTAGTAGGGGTCTATTTATTGGTTCTCTCTTCTGTTCCATTAATCAATTCGTTCTTTTGCCGGTACCACACTGCCTTGGTTACTGTAGCTTTACGTTAATTCTTGGAGTTGGTAGCATCAATCTTCCAACTTTGTTCTCCTTCAATATTGTAGTAGCTATTCTTCATACAGACTTTAGAACCAGTTTGTTGATGTCCATAAATTAACTTTATGGGATTTTGATTAGGATTGCATTGAATCTATGGATCAAATTGGGAAGAACTGATATCTTGATCATATTGAGTCTTTCTATCCATGAACATTGAATATCTCTTCATTTATTTACTCCTTCCTTGATTTCATTTATCAGAGTACTTTTCTCATAGAGATTTTGTAACAGTTTTGTTAGGTTTACACAAGTATTTCCGTGTTTGGGGGTGCTAATGTAAAGGGTGTTATTTTTAATTTCAAATTCCACTTGTTCATTGTCGGTGTATTTTTAACTGAGAACACACTCTCTTCACATATGCTGAGGTACGTGGTAAGATCGGAGCAAATTCTGCTGTGTGGAGGATATTCTCAATTCCATCTTTTCCCCATTTTGAACTGTTGAAATGTTTCAGTTCAAATATGTTACAGGGTTTGTCTTTTTGCATGGAAAGTACTATGGCTCCTTTAAGCAAATATTTTAACAACACAAAATTTGTCCACTAAATTGCTCTACTTATGGTGCTTTTGAATGTCTCACCAAGTTTAGTTGTTGCAATATCATAGGGCTTTTCAGTTCCACTTCAGTTAAGTATAGAATATGCTCATCCCTTTAAAAATAAGAACTTAATGAGAGGTTTCTTCCCACAAGTTGAGATATTCTTAAAGCATGATTACAGTATTTCAAAGTTAAATTTTGTGCAAATTAAACCCATCTCATATTAATACTTTGCTACACTGAAAAGATTCAGGATAAATGCTAAAGCAGGATGCTGGGAGGTCAGCAGAACCTGGGATGTTCCTGGCGAGGACTCACATGGTGTAAAAGGCCTTTCGTGATCTGGTCCAGCCTCATGTCTATAATCCTCTCTCTCTAGCTCTTTGCTTTTGTAGATTCATGCTGACCTCCACTCTTTTGCACTTGCTGCTGCTCTGCCTGGAAACTCCTTTCCTTTCTCATCTGGCTAATTTTCCCTTATCCTACAACCCTAGACTCTGGCATCATTTTCTTTAGGTTCTCGCCTGGTTCCTCTGAAGTGGTCTCTCCCTACCTTTACTGCAGCCCTTCCAGGTTGAGTTATATCTGTTTAGTTGTTTCTCCTTCTTTACCTTTCCAAGACACTTAAAAAATTTTTTTTTACATTTATTTAGTTTTGAGAGACAGAGCACAAGTGGGGAGGGGCAGAGAGAGAGAGGGAGACACAGAATCTGAAGCAGGCTCCAGGCTCCGAGCTGTCAGCACAGAGCCTGACACGGGGCTTGAACTCACAAACTGTGAGATCATGACCTGAGTTCAACTGACTGAGCCACTCAGGTGCCCCTCAAGACACTTTTTGTCCAATGTCCTATTATTTAAGAGTCTTGCTCTTTGCTTCCAATGGCGACAGTTATTGGATAAGCTGATCTGTGCTAGGGGATAAGCGATTTTGATGAATTGCTTATCTGCTGCTGAAAATATATTTGTATTTCATGGAGGCCCATTGGGGCAGTAGTCTTCAGAGATAATTCAAATTATGACACACATTGGGGATTGTGCAAGACCATTTATAAAGGTATAGGCAGAACATGGCTTAGCTTTTACTTTACTGAGCAAAACTAAGGAATTAAGGTTTTCTAATATTTCATATTTTGGTTGATAATATTTAATACTTTGGTTGAGAAAGTATATATATATAACTTTATCATCTAACTTGACATTGGTAATATGTATTAATTGACTCCGTGCCCCGTGATAACAATATGAATACCTTGCTATAGAGGCATGCTATATCCCCGGTGGATATCCCTTCAAGTTTTCTGGCACTGTCATGACTTAAATGATCAAGTGCTTCCTGTGTGCCAGACACTGTTCTACACACTTTACAGGGATCAACATACTTATTCTTCACAACCACCTTGTGAGATTGGTACTATTATTAGCATGCTCATGTGATAGCTGAAAAAATGGAGACTGGATAATCAGGTAACTTTTTCAAGGATGGGGTGAGCACATGGTTGGTTCAGTATACAACTGATATAGCCTAGTTCCAGAGGCCACTTGTTTAATTTCTGTTCCGTACTGTGCTGGGCTCTGGCGTTCGTCTGTTCCTATGGGATAGACACATGCGGCTTCCAGCAGGACGGGGACCATGTCTGTCTTGTTCATTGTGGTAAAAGTTTCTTAAATTTTCACAAATATTTCCTAAATGAAGGAACCGTGAGGGCCTGTCACCACCTCTGAACTCATGTCACTTAAATGGGAACTTTGGATAAGTATTCTTTTGTTTTTAACTTGAAACATTTTTTCTCTTGAAATAATTAGATCTGATGAGAAATTGGCATGAGTTAAATTAGCAGTCCTATGTTTAGAAACTTTTCATGAAAAAAAGTCTGCATCACTCTAATACCAGTGAGTCGATTATGAGTCCCAGCTCCCCCCTGACGTGACTAATGCCTTCCTTTCCTTCTTTTATCATGAGGGTCTGAGAACATAAGAAATAAACCTTAGGTTTTTCCTCAACACCGATTAAAGTGTCCCTCAAATGTGTATGACCTTAAAACAGCAACAGGAACAGCAATAATAATGACAACAAAATGATAATGGAAAAGAGAAGCAGAACTTAAACTAATTTGGGGGGGGGTTCACCCACTGATAGCCTTTTAAGTCTGGCTCCACTTTCCTTAATTCTTTGGCACAAGGCTATATAATAATCTCTCAGGTGTTCTGAGCTTTAATGAAATTGTTTTGTTTTGACCAAATAAGTTTGTGATTCTGTAAGCTTATGATTCTTTCCACATTTGAAAGAGTATTTGGAGAGTTTGGGAGTTTTGTATTACCATCATATTCAAATTATGACTCTATTTTCTTCCCTGTTTTGCTTTTAGGCTCTTTCAAGACACTTACTCTTCCATCAGTAAGTATCCATTTAAAAATTTTGGTTTCAGAAATATACATTGCATTGGTGAGACAAATAAATTAATATTTTTTGGCTTTTATATCAATTTACATTTCTTGTGAGTTTGGCTTCAGTTCAGTTTCACCTTTAAATGAAGAATAATGTTACTTCAGGGCACTTGGTGGCTCATCTGTTGAGTGCCCAACTTCAGATCAGGTCATGATCTCACAGTTTGTGAGTTTGAGCCCTGCACTGGGCTCTTTTTGGAGTCAGCACTGAGCCCACTTTGGATCCTCTGTCCCCCTCTCTCTCTGCCCTGCCTCCCTCTCTCTCTTTCTTCTCTCTCTGTCCCTCTCAAAAATGAATAAACATTAAAAAAAATTTTTTTAAATGTTACTTCAGGGAGATCCGTTATTAGCCTCTTCAAACTCATAGCAGAGATTTTCCTCTTGTGAAGCAGGGAACTTCACTGAGGGAAACCTTCCTGGACTGTTGCCACAGAAGCGTGGGCTGGTTTGGTGCTGCTTCTGCCTTCCTGAACCTTGAAGTTTGAGTGTATAATTAACACTCTGCCCCTCTGTTTCCCTGTCCTAGAAAGTGGAGGGTCACAGTGAGCCATAATGAAGACTGAGACGTTGGTGATATTGATCCTGTCTTTGTTAAAAACATTTTTTTTGTTGTTTATAATTTAATTTTTTGCATTACCTTTTCTATTTTAAAATATTTAAAATTTACTTATCTTGATTACTGATTTTTTTGCCTCCTCAAATTTTGCACCAGAGGCAAGGGCCTCACTCACCCCACCCACTTCCTAGCTCTGGAAAAGGGGATAAAGAAACCACCTCCTTCATAAGGGCTTCTTTACCCTGCAGGTGAAATGAGATGTTAAAGTGCTGTAAAATTTGCTATGGAAGTGGAAAGAGGTTATTATTTTGTTGAGAAAGTCATAAAACCTTATGATCAAATGCTGTTTGTGAACTGCTCCTGCTTTGTAGCTTTGATTGGGAAGTTTGCATTTTTATTACCATGTTTTGTTTTGGAGCTTCACACTTTGGATGTACAGTGAGAAAGTAGACCACAGCATTCAACAGGAGATGCGATTTGGTATACTTTTCTGAGAACAGTTGACTAATGACTTTGTTAAAAAACAAAATTTGACCCGGTCAATTTGAAAATCTAATTGGCTTAGTAAGTGATTCATGAATTGGGCAGGATCTCATCCAGCAAGTAGAGGGAAGCTCCAAAGAATTGTATAGTGTGGAAGGTTTTTGTAGGTAGGAAGGTGGGGCAACAAGTTATCAGCAAAAGAAAAGAAAGGATTGTCCAAGGCCAGGTCACCTTCCCTTAGGGGGAAGGACATGGGGTCTTATCCTGCAGATTGCCTCATCTTCCTTTGGGTGGAGTAGGGGTAGGGGGAGAGGGCCCATGTGACAGATTACCTCATTGGTTCTTGTCAGAAACTTCCAGATTGATTGGCCTAAAATTCCACTCCCGGAAAGGTTGAAACTGCAGTTGAGTCCTGGTTTACTGTTCTGGGAGCAAATGACTCCACCTTGGGCCTGTGGTTTCTTTTTAACAACTTTAGCCTTGACACTTTACATACTTAATGTAGGATTACCATTAGCTGATGAGCCAGGTTCCTCCATTACTTCTTGAAGGTTACTTATCAAGCATATTCAGAAACCACATTCCTTTCTGCAGGGGTGGTGGTGGGGGTGGTATTCCTGGAGAGTATAGTGCTCCCAAACACTACTTTATAAAAATTACTTATATTCCGGGGCACCTCGGTGGCTTAGTCGGTTAAGCGTCCGACTTTCGCTTAGGTCATGATCTCGCGGTTCGTGGGTTCGAGCCCCGCGTCGGGCTCTGTGCTGACTGCCAGCTCAGAGCCTGGAGCCTGTTTCGGAGTCTGTGTCTCCCTCTCTCTCTGACCCTTCCTTGCTCACGCTGTCTCTCTCTCTCCTAGAAATAAATTTAAAAAAATATTAAAAAAAAATTAAAAAAAATTACTTATATTCCATAGCTGTTGTTTCTTGCCTGTTACGTTTGTACTTTCCCTCCTAAGAAATATAACTGCTTTTTCTATTGTTGAATAGGAAGTAGGGAAAGAGAGCAGGTGGAAATAGGGGGAAAGCCCAATCTCAGTGATGATAAGACATTGTATTGCATTTATACCCTAAAATATTAGATGCTGGTCATGATGCTGTAGGAAGAGTATTCCAGTGAGAAAATAAAAAATAAATCCTGTGTAATAGAATTGCCTTGTAGCAGAAGAGGCTGGGATTTAAGTTCAGGAGCCACAGCTTAAACTACAACTGTCTGGTTTCATGAGAGAAGCCTGTAGTTTCACAGGCTGGAAGTGTAGAAAGGCTGGAAAGAGAAGGCATCAGGCTTGGATGGTTCCAACAATGCCAGTTTATTATAAATTACACTCTTCCAAACTGTCATTAGCTGGTCTTTGGCTGCTATTATTCTTTTCAGCCTTACCTATTCTTTTAAGTATGAAGTTGGAAATACTAACTCCAACACTCTGTGTTTGTCTTTCCTAGTAATGCCATTTCTATTGTAGACAGATATAGCAATTATCTATTGAGAGCTTTCTTAGACATTATGTTTAGGAGTATATTCCTTTTCTACTAAAACAAAAATTTAAAGACTTTGTCATAAAGTGTGTCTGGGAGAATTTGATAATGCTTGGCAGAAATAGAAAGTTCTTTATTGTTATGAGTTGTCAGTTAAAATAGACTCAGTTTTCAGAGAGTGCACTTGCATTCTGATGTTTGTAAATGTAATATTTCAGTTTTTTTGAGGTTCTCATGAATTATTGCTGTAAAATTAAATATTTTGACTGCATTAACACAAATGTGTTTTTAATATCTGATTAACTCATTGTTTCTATTTTTGATACAGTACAATCAGCTTTTAATAAGTAAATAAAAAAAACAATTGATGCTTAATATAAAGGTTTTTTTTTTTGCACAAAATGTGGTAGGAGAAATTTCTTTTATTCTCTGTAAATAAATCCAACATAACATGAGGGAGGGGTTTTTAAAGTTAGGAATGTTGTTGACATTTATTTTACGTATAATTAATATTTTTAAAATATATTTTTAGTAGAAACTGTCATCATAAAGTCCTCAATTTAATTTTGAAAGTTATTTGAAATCTCTACTACTTTTAATAACTGGCATTAATGAAGTAGAGTAGGATAAATCCTATTTTGTTGTCTCAGTTTCCTTGATAATGATCATTGATAATTGGTCATTCAGAGAAGATGAAGTGGTTTTCGTCATCCCAGATTAGTTCCTTACCCTCCAAGAATCTTTTTACAATTTTTATTTTTATTTAAAAATTTAAAAAAAGTTTTTATTTATTTATTTATTTTTTAAATATTTTTATTTATTTCTAGGAGAGAGAGAGACAGTGTGAGGAGGGGAGGGTCAGAGAGAGAGGGAGATACAGACTCTGAAATAGGCTCCAGGCTCTGAGCTGGCAGTCAGCACAGAGCCCGACGCGGGGCTCGAACCCATGAACCACGAGATCATGACCTAAGCGAAAGTCGGACGCTTAACCGACTAAGCCACCCAGGTGCCCCAGCTTTTATTTATTTTTGATACAGAGAGTAAGCACGAGCTGGGGAGGGGCAGAGAGAGAGGGAGGCAGGAATCGAAGCTGACTCCACACTGACAGGAGAGAGCCCGATGCGAACTCAAATTCACGAGCGATGAGATCATGACCTGAACTGAAGTCAGACTCTTAGCCAACTGAGCCATCCAGGTGCCCCAATTTTTATTTATTTTTATTTTATTTTTAAGCAAACTCTATGCCCAAGATGGGGCTTGAACCCATAACCCCAAACAAGAGTTGCTCACTCCACTGACGAAGCCAGCCAGAAAACCCTCACCAACGACCTTTTTGAGTATACCTGCCTTAAATACCCTGGGCAAAGAGCAGTCATTTACTCAGAAAATTTGCTTTTATATATACACAGAATAGACTTAGCGTAATGAGAATTTAGCATGTCCCTCTCAGATGCCAATTGATACTTGGCTGATCAAAGCCCCTTGTTACTGCACTGTTGCCAGACAGTGTCTGTCTGTGGGAACTGTGTCTTTCTCCAGCCTTCTGTTCTCAGCTCAACATGTAAAACTACAAAATCCCTGTGGGAAACTAATTGGTTCTTGTATAAGAGTCATGGGAATCTCTGATGAGGGAACCTCTTTATTACCACTTCTGGGAAGTCTCTCAGTAACTGACCCCAAGAAGACAGAAGGCAATTGGTCAATAGAGATATAGGAGCTTTTATTTCTTTCTGGTGTCCTCTCCCCTGTGGGAAGCAGGTTACAACCCATTCTAGGTCTGTGACAGAGAAAAACCTCCATAAAGATTGCTTAAAATCCACACAATTTTCTTCATACTCTCTCACAGTATGTCCCTCTGCTGTTAACAGTGGAGGGCCAGGGTCTCTGCTACAGCCCAGCATTGGTAGTGCCATGCAAAGTCTGCAGTGACACCACAAGGCAAATGGTTTAGTCACCCCTGGTCTACTGACTGATACACCAAGTTCATTTGTACTCTCTGACTTTCCAGCCCTGGGATGAACACTGAGGCTTTGGGGAGGCAGAATTACCTATATCTTACATATGGAGGGTGGGCAGGGTTTCTAATTGGGCAATTAAAAAAGCAAATTACTTGGGGTGGCTGAAAGGAGCATAAAGATAGTACCATCTCCACTTGTGTTACTTCTGCTTTTTTATTTGGCGTCTTCATGGTTAAATAGGCCTCTTTAGTTTTGAGCCTCTGCATTATTACTTTGACATAAATCTTCAATCTACTATCAGTTCTGGAGTCTCTGTGCCACTAAAAATGATCAAAGTATATCCAAATCATAAAAAGCAATCCTATCAAATACCATATTTTAAATGTAAAGTATTTATGAATCTTTGCCATATATGTGATATGCTGGCATATATAATTTTCTGCTTATAGTTCAAAAATATCTCTTTAAAAGAATCTGAGAACTGAAGTATCATTTGAAAAAATAGAATATAAGAATGCAAGTTCCAAGCTAGACCCTCAGCCTTACTAGGGCATCCATGTTTGGCTCACGTTGTATTCCAAGGACTAGAACAACTTGGAGCTAGGAGGTGCTCAATAAATATTTATTGAAGAAAAGCAAAAATCGGCACTAGAAGTTATGTAAATGTGATGCTACTGATTGTTCTTTCTAACATTTTATTAAGAATTTTTCCAATATACAAAAAACTTGGAAGAATTTCGTGGTGAGCACTTCTGTACCCACCACTCAGAATCTACCATTAACACTTTATTATACTTGCTCTATTCCATATCTATACATCTATTTGTCTTTGTATCCATTAATTCATCTTATTTTTAAACATTTTTTGTGTTTATTTACTTATTTTTTAAGAGATAAGGAGAAAGCAAGCCAGAGAGGAGCAGAGAGAGAGGGAGAGATTGAATCTTAAGCAGGCTCCATGCTGTCAGCACAGAGCCCAATGCAGGGCTTGAACTCATGAACCATGAGATCATGACCTGAGCTGAAACCAAGAGACAGATGCTAAACCGTCTGAACCACCCATGCACCCTAATTCATCTTATTTTTAAAATGTGTCTCCAATAAATTGTGAACATCAGTACTTCTCTCCCTAAATATTTTTTGCTGACCGTTTTATTGGTGAATTGTTACATTTCCTTCATAGTCTCATCCATATTGTAAGCTTCAAGGTAACTGCTGTTACTGGAAGATCTCTGAGCTTTCTGTGGATAAAACTTATTTGCCAACATGAGCCAGAATTTAGTTTCAGAACCTCAGGTTTATTATAATGAAAACCAAATAAAAGTCAGGTGTGCTAGTCATCTATTGTTGCATAACCAATTATCCCAAAAGCTTTGGCATAAAACTGATGATCCCAAAGCTTTGGGCTATTACAAGGCTGCTGTCAGGATGTCAGTTAGACCTGCCTTCACCTGAAGGCTTCAGTAGGTCGGGGATCCTCTGTAAGGTAGTTCACTCGTATGGCTATCAAGCTGGTGGTGGGTGTTGGTGGGAGACCTCAGTTTCTCCCTATGTGGGCCTCTCCACAGGCTTCTTGAGTGTCCTCCTCACATGGCAGCTGGATTCCCTCACAGCGAAGAATCCCAGAGAGAAAGAGAACCAGGAAGAAGCCATCCATTCTCTAACACAGCTTCATTCTTTTCTTGAGAAGCAAGTCCCTAAGTCTGGGGAATGAGATTCTACCTTTTGAAGGGCAGAGGGTCAGAGAATTGTCAGACATGTTTGAAAGACATCACACGGAGGCTTTTATTACAGTAGTATAGCTCTTCTTGGGTTTGAATCTCAGCTAGTAACCTGGAGCAGCTTCCCAAACTCCTCCAAGCCCCAGGTTCCTTCTGTATAAAATGGTGTCAGTAAAAGCACCCACCTGAAGGATTGTTGGAAAATGACACAGGTCACATAAGCTGCCGAGTATGGCTTCAAGTCTGTTAATGCTGGCAGGTAGGAATTCTGCCGGTAATAGCAGTAGGAAGGCAGTGGCACCCCCGTCCTTCCCAAGACTACGACCTATGATGTGCAGGATGCAGGAAGAGAGCGCACTATAGAAAGGAGTTCGAAAGAGATATGGTGGGGCCGTAAGGAAAGAAGTCTTGTGCAAATTGTGCTTTTCACCAGTTGACTGCCTCAAAGAGGGAGGCATGGAAAAAAGTGCTGAAAGACATTAGATAGTTTGAACCCCCAATGACTGTTAGGAAGAATATGCACTTGGACTAGGAAATGACAAGGTGACCAGTGCTGAGCCCTACATTCCGAGAACCCTGCAATTTAACGGGAGAGAAAACTACAGGATGTTAAGAGGGAAAACAAATTGTTTAACATTGGTGCCTAGGAGAGGCAAGTTTTACAACATGGCAATTACTTTTAATAATACTATAGATTTAAATGTTCTATTCTTGGGGCGCCTGGGTGGCTCAGTCAGTTTAGTGTCCGACTCTTGATTTCGACTCAAGTCATGATCTCACGGTTCATGGGTTTGAGCCTGATGGCAGGCCTGCGCTGACAGTGCAGAGCCTGTTTGGGATTTTCTCTCTTTCCTCTCTCTACTCCTTCCCTGCCCCCTCAATGAAATAAGTGAACTTAAAAAAAAATATAAATTTCTCTGTTCTAATTTATAATTAAAAACATTTTCGAGGTAAAATAATGAGAATGTCTGATCTCTTCATTTTCTCCAGCTACCTCTGAACAGTGCAGATGGGATTTATGAGCTACGTGTAACTGGACGTGCCCAGGATGAGATCTTATTCTCTAATAGTACGCGCTTATCATTTGAGACCAAGAGAATGACTGTCTTCATTCAAACAGACAAGTCCCTCTATAAGCCAAAGCAGGAAGTGAAGTTTCGTGTCGTTACACTCTTCTCAGACTTTAAACCTTATAAAACTTCTTTAAACATTCTAATAAAGGTAAGTGCCAGCTAGAAATAAAGTAAGAAGTTCAAGCCATCTTACTAAAGCTCTCTGCGAAGTTCCAGTCAAGTTATCTTAGATTTCGCCATGGGTAAACTTCTCTCCCAACAAGAGAATACTCTGTCTTGGAAGGGAAATGGGAGAGCAGTGGGTTCAGAGCTCAGGCTCCAAAGTTGGCTGGCTTGGACTCCAGTCCTTGCTTCTTCATTGATTAATTCATTTGTTAAACATGTTTTGAACTTTTGTGTTCAGGCCTCTGGGGTGGGGCAGTGAGCAGAACAGATTAAATCCCCTGCTCACATCAAGCTTCTATTTCAGTGAATAGTGTGGAGACAGGCACTAAATAAACACATAAATATGTATACAAAGGGATTGGTGTGTGCTTGTGTGTGTGTGTGTGTGTGTGTGTGTAAGAGAGAGAGTGTTTATGTTTGCTCTTTTCTCTAGGTTGTTAGGGGAGTCCTATGTGAGCAGAGGCCTAAAGGAAATAAAAGAATGAGCCCATACATACAGCGGGAACAGCTTGTGTAAAGGCCCTGAGGCGGGAACTTGTTGGGTACATTGGAGGAAAAATAGGCTGATAGTGTACCAGGGCGTGAGGGGACAAATATTAGGAGATGAGGTAAGATATAGCTACGTGGGTTGGAGGAGGGGTGGATCATACAGGGTCTTCCTGGGCATGATATGGACTTTGGATTTTACTGAGGGAAGTGAGATTTCACTGGAGAATTGTGAGGACAGGCGTGATGTGATTTGACTTGTAAAAGGATCACTGTCTGCTCTAAGAAGAATAGATGCTAGTTGTATGAGAAAATTAATCTCTCTGAGCCCCAGTTTCTTTATTTGTAAAATGTGTAATAATAATAATACCTCACAAAGGTTTTTGTGAGATAATCCAAGCAAAGCATTTAGAACTATGCCTGCCACATAGTACGTGCTCACTGAACATTAGCTCTTTTTATAATGCGAACTCCATTGGCAGGGAGTCATTTGGCCTCTGCTGCTTGCACACTCTGATGGTCCGGAGGCAGGTAGTTGGACTGAGTGTTTTCCTGTGGGAACCAAGTTGAGGACCGTTGAGATCCTGCTGGACCTGCTTTTCTACGCTTAGGCTGCAGAGAATACAAGACATTTGATCCTTACATGGAAATAAGGTGATCAACTCACCCCAGTTTGCCTGGGTCTCTCTTGATTTTATAACTGAAAAGTCCCTGGTCCTGGGAACCCTCTTGGTGACCTTCCGTGTTCTCATGAATGACACAGAATGGAAGGCAAATTTAGGTTTTTTAGTTCAGTATCTTCCTATTCTTCTTAACTTATGTGTTGCTATAAATTAAACTAAAAGCCAAACAAAAATCAAGCAAACAAGCACATATACGTGTAACTTCAAGCCAAACATCCTCGGGCATCCTGCTCAATGCGTATTTCTTGAATTTGCAAGAATTGCCATTCTGTGAATCTCTGCCTTCACTGTATAATGGAATGTCTATAAAGGAGGTTGACATAGTGAATAGCATGTCTAAATTCAAGTAGCTTTCTAAGCAGGGCTTTATGGACTGCAGTCACATCATCCTTCATCATTTGTCCACATATGCTGAGAGCTTAGTGTCTGCCAGAAACGAAGTGTAAGGTGGAGGATTTGGAGGTCATCTGCCTGTCTCTAGCTGTTTATATCCAATCTGCCTCGTTCTACCTGAGGTAATGAAAGTCAGCACTTGATAAATTGCCTACTCTAGGCATTAACCCAGAACCAACCCTGCTGATGCGGGACAAATACCTCACAGAGGTTTTTGTGAGGATTAAGTGAGATAATTTAAGTAAAGCATTTAGGACTGTGCTAGTCTGTGCGTTTTTATTATTTTGCCTCGCTATGGTGCTTTAAGATCTGCCTTTGAAGCCTTTGATTTGTACTCTTGGCCTCTTCTCTACAACTTTGGACTTAGCTTGACACATTTGGCTTTCTCAGAAGGGCTCAGAGAGACCTCTGGGCCTGAGAAATCCTACTGGCCTTACCAACATGTGGCCCTCTCGGCCCGGGGAGGGGCGTTTAGACTAAAATTCTACCTGGAGCCCAGAATGTTTGGGAACTGTGCCCAGGGGGTTTCCATACTCTGCTCTCTGCACCCGGGCAGTGAGGCTGAGATGTGAACTCAGGTCCAGCCTTGTAACTTGCGGAAGCCAGATGGGAGCTCTGATGCCCACACTGCTGTGTTTCCCCCATCTGAAAAACAGTCGTTTGGGCCAGAATGTGGTGTTTTCTACATCCTTCAGTGTAGAATAGTTGGTTTCTTGGCAAAACTTCCCAGAATAAAGTGGAACTTAGTGTAACAGGCGCCCCTGACTTGAACAAAGTTGTACCCTCTAGTATAGTACCACCTGCAGGCTAATGTGGAGAATGCATTTGATGGCTAGAAGGCTAACTTCTCGGAATCCATCCCGCCCAGTCAAGATGATAGTCAATGATACTGTAATAGTGGGCGACCTGCTGAGACAGCGAGTAGCTACACTTGTGGTGAGCATAGCAGAGTGTATAAACTTGTCAAATCGCTAAGTTGTGAAAAAACAAGATGTAAATAAAATATTGACTGTCAGTCACAGCATATTCAGGGGTGCTCAGTGTTTTTTTTTTTTTTTTTTTGTCATTGGATATTATTAAATTTGCCTGCCTTGATAACTCACCTTCTCAGGTTGAAAGGGCCTTCAGAGCCCTTTTGGCAGTGGTAAAAACATGCCCTACCCCTGCTCTGATTCTGGTTTCCCCTGGCTAATCCGGCCTGACACTATGGTGCCTTCAAAAGTTCCAAGGAAGGTGGTGGCAAGGCTGGCTTCTACCCCAACTTCCTTCCTGAAGAAGGTGTTGCTTCTTGTACATGTGAGTGACCTTGTATGGAAACAGCCGAGGTGGCCTTGGGGGTGTATCTTGTGACTATCCCCTGATACTCTGGCATGGAGCAGCCGTGACAAAAGCAGGACCTCATCCCTGGTGAGGTGAGGGGACCCCCTTGTTTAGGTGATTTGACTTCTCTAGTTCTACATGCTAGACAGACTCCAGGTGCATAACCCAGGACTGTGAGGAGTGGCAGAAGTACTCCTCGTGGATGTATTCTCCAGCCAGGGATTTATTGCTTGAGACAGAGTGGCACAGGCAGCAGGTACTGTGCTGTGCTGAAGCACCTGACAGATCCAGAACCATCTGAAGGTGACTCAGCACAAGGGGCCACTCTTCCAGCATCTCCAGCATGTGGCTGTTCTGGTTGTGGCAGGGACACTGCTCATGTTGTACATGGCTGGCCTGTGTGCGTCCTAGCAGGAGATGACGACGTACAAATGCTGGATTCCGCTGTGGTGCCAACATGCGCGGCCGTTTGAATCCTGATGTGTAAAAACTTCGGTGTTTCTACATTCACTGTGTTTTCTTGCTGGTGACGGTTAGGCTTAGGCCTAAGACAGGCTTGACAAACCAGAGGGATTATCTCATTCACTCCCAACTGTCCAGATCCTCTGGGTTCAAAGTCCTCAAGGACTTCATTTAGGACTTCCTTTTTTTGTAGGGCCACGGTACCACCTGGGAGAAGGGTAAACCTTCACCAAAATAATGCACCAGTGGAGTATGAACATTCCTTTCCTTACAGTTTAAATAACACTGGGAATTTATTTTTTATTTTTGCCAGGCTGACAGAAGAGAAATAGTATTTTTTGTTTTCACCCACGTGTCACGCTGTGCCAGGCACAGGAGACCCGGCTGCTGATTACAATGCCCGTCCCGGGAGTTTGCCAAGGAGAGTGACCTGATTAGTCTTGACTTGCTTTTGGTCTTTGGTTTTAACAATTAGTTTCTGGCTTACTAGACCACTCCTGACTCACTTCTCAGCATTGTCCTTACCTCTGACTTTCACATTCTCCCCTACTCAGGGAGGGAGGTTACTTCTGGCTTCCATTAACTGGGCTGACCCACTACCTCCAGTCAAAGGATAGAGAAGAAGAATCAGGGAAAATATTTGATCCCTGCTCTCAGGAGGCCACAGTCTAGCTGGGAACAAAAAACCCCGTGTAACCCATGAGTACAATAAACAGTAGTATGCCCTAGATGTACCAGGGGCTCTGCAGGAAGTGACCATTTTGTTTGTTGGAAGCATGTATAGGAGGCAGGACACTGGAGTTTATTTTACCCGTCGGACAGGAAGGGAGGGAATTCTTTGCAGCAATTGTAGAGGCTGAGAAGCATGGGCTTTTGGGGGTGAATTACAAACAAAACTATATATTTAGAGGAAGATGAGCATAGAAATATAGATGGAGTCAGACTGCTAAGTTATGTAAACTGTGTAAAGAAGTATAGACCTCATTCTGTAGGCAAAAGAAAGCCATCACCACCTTGTGGTCCAGTGTAAGTTTATAGCCAGTGTTTATTCCGTTTGTCGTATGTCAGGAACGGTACCAAGGGTTTCGGCTACTTTGTCTCAGTCTCAGATTTGTGTTTCAGATGGATAACATTGTTGACAGAGGGGAAGATGTATTGGAGGGGCAAGATTGGAGGAGGGAGATGAGTTGTAACAGAAAACCGAACATGGCGGCTAGATCTGAGGATTAGAGAGAGATGAAAGAGGCGGAGTTGACAGGCTGGGAATGTGGGGAGAGGCCTGGGATGACTGCTGGAGTGGCTCGGCGGAGTGCTGCATGACGGGATCACTGGGGAAGTCTAGGAAGACTGAAGTGTTTTTCCATGCATCCCCTTGGCCAAACATGGCTGTGATACGTTTTATTGGATTAAAAGGTGTGTGGGTTCAAATCCTGAATTCACGTATTATTTACTGTTGAGTGTGTACCTAACCTCTCTGGGAGTCTGTTTTTGCTATAATGTGAGGACAGCCCTACCCTGAGGGAGAGTTGTGATGACTGAGTGATGTATGAGTAATAATGTTAAGACCGAGTGCCTGACACATAGTGGGCCCTGAATATACGAGGCCTGTTATCTCTAGTTAACAATGACAACACAGGTTTGGTGATACACACGTCGTGGTGTTCCATAAAGAGAGAAATGTGGTGCCAAGAATTGAAAGGTGGAACAGAATAAAGATGTTGTCAGGAGGGTATGAGAAAGGAAGAAATTCTGATTTGTCTTCTTTAGTAACATATAGACAACATTTTCCAAAACCTGTCTCTGTGCCATATTTAGGATGTCCCTGGGAGTACCACAGGGAGGGGATCATTCATAACACATGTACGTGGCAATATTTATATAGTTAACGTGTATGGTTCTCATTGTAGGACCCCAAGTCCAATTTGATCCAACAGTGGCTGTCAGAACAAAGTGATCTTGGCGTCGTTTCCAAAACTTTTCAGTTATCTTCCCATCCAATACTTGGTGACTGGTCCATTCAAGTTCAAGTGAATGTGAGTATAAATATATTTTTAGGGGGAATGCTAAAATAATTTAATTAGGTCAGGTGGGGAAATATCTCCAACACCATTTATTCAATGAACAGAAAAGTGTTAATCTGAACATCTAGATGATATAAGTGGTTTATTTTGACTTTACTCTGTTTATCAATACAATCTTTCATTGTAACATGTTAGAGTTTTAATCATTTTTGCCTTTTTCTGTAATACAATATTTGAAGATTAAAACATTTTGCATTTAATGTAAAACTGATTAATGTTTATTTTACTTATTCAGTGCCGACATTGAGTATTTTAAAACTAAGCAATGGATGCATAGTTATTATTTGGCAAACTTTGTGTCTCTGAATAATGACTCCTGATGAGATTGGATTAACCTACTTTATCATTGTTTTAAAAAACACAGTGATTGGGGCGCCTGGGTGGCTGAGTTGGTTAAGTGTTTGACTTCAGCTCAGATCATGATCTCATGGTTCATGTTTTGGAGCCCTTCAAAGGGCTCTGTGCTGACAGCTCGGAGCCTGGAGCCTGCTTCGGATTCTGTGTCTCCCTCTGTCTCTGCCCCTCCCCCTCTGCGCGCATGCGTGCTCTCTCTCAAAAAAAATTTTTTTAAAAATACAAAAAATAAGAAACAGTGATTTTAAACAACCACACCAATTTTCTGCTCGCCAGGTCTTCTTTCTCCCCAGCTCCTCCACCTACTTCCTTTGTTCGTTGCCAACCTTTGTAGGTCTGAGATTAACAGGGCAGACTCGTGAGAATGCCCTCATCTCTCAGCCTTAGGTTTTCTCCTGTGCATCCATCCCTGTGTCATGTTTCAGGATTCATTGAATATTTTCCCATTTTTTTGGAGTTTATTAAAGTAGATATAAATTTGTGAATAAGAGCTTTTGAAAACAGTTCTATTAAAACAGCTGTTGACATTTTGGACAAAAATTCTTTTCTGTGGGCATTGTCGGGTACACTGTAGGATGTTTAGCAGTATCTTTGGCCTCAGCCCCTCAGATGCCAGTAGCAGCCCGAGTGTGACAAACAAAAATGCCTACAGACATCGTCAATGTCCCTGGGGGGAAAATACCCTCTCCCTTCCCCATTGAGAAACACTTTATTAGAAAGAAAAATCATTCATTAACATAAGACCTTAAGTGGGATAACTGTACCAAGTACTTAATAAATAAAAATTAAAAAAAATAAATCCCCATTCTGCTTTTAGGAAGAGGTCACATCCTAAAAGCAGAACTAGTCCCTCTTAGCCAGCACATGTGTTTTGAGCACCCATGTAAAGATGAACAGTGCCTGCAGGGAGGTTGTGCTGCAGGGTTAAGACAGACGGGCAGTGAGAAAGTGTAGAGGTGTGTATAGGGATCAGGGAAGCCTGGAGGAGGGGGTGCTGAGCTCTAGGGAAGCCAGACATCTGCATTTATGGAGAAAGAGGAAAATCAATGTTTGTGACACTTCACAGAGAGAAAGCTATGTCTAGAGGCTGGGAAGGTGGAAGAGAGCCTCACAGTTCTGGGGGTTTGGGAGAAGTTTGGTGTTACTGGCACATGTGGAGAATGATGGGAATTGATGATTAGGATGTATACTGTGAGTGTGAAGGAATTAGGGTTTTCTTCTCAGTGCCCACCTTTGATTTCACTATCGAGTTCTCCAGGATCACTTGTTTATCCATTTGTCCGTCTTTCTGTCTCTCTGTCCCTTTATCAAATACGTGAGGGCTTATAGGGCAGTGGTGGAAACAAGGAGATAAACATGCAAAATCTGTCTTCAAAGACCATTGTTGTGCTGACATGGTAATATGATAAAAATTGAATAACATAAGCGTGACAGGAAAACAAGGCACTGGAGGAATTGTCAGGTGCTGAGTCAGTGAGGTCCATCAGGTGCTTCTTTTTTTAAAAATTTATTTTATTAAAAATGTTTTTAAAATTATTCTTTATTTAAATTCAATTCAGTTAACATATAGTGTAATAATGATTTCAGAAAATGAAGTTAGCAATTCATCACTTACATATAACACCCAGTGCCCATCCCAAGTGACCTCCTTAATGTCCATCACCCACTTAGCCCATCCCCCCACCCAACACCCCACCAGCAACCCTCAGTTTGTTCTCTGTATTTAACAGTCTCTTATGGTTTGTCTCCCTCTCTGTTTTTATCTTATTTTTGCTTCCCTTCCCCTATGTTCATCTATTTTCTTTCTTATATTCCACATATGAGTGAAATCATATATTTGTCTCTCTGATTGACTTATTTTGCTTAGTATGATACACTCTAGTTCCATCCACATTATCGCAAATGGCAAGATTTCATTCTTTTTCATCATCAAGTAATATTCCATTGTATCTATGTACCACATCTTCTTTATCCATTCATCAGTTGACAGACATTTGGTCTCTTTCCATACTTTGGATATTGTCCATAGTACTGCTATAAACTTTGGGGTACATGTGCCCCTTCAAATCAGCATTCCTGTATCCTTTGGATAAATACCTAGTAGTGCAGTTGTGGGGTAGTTCTATCTGAAAAAAAATTTTTTTTTTTTTTACAAATATAGTTTATTGTCAAATTAGTTTCCACATAATACCCAGGGCTCATCCCCACAAGTGCCCTCCTCCATGCCCACCCCCTTCCCCCCCATCTGAAATTTTTTAAGGAGCCTTCATACTATTTTCCAGAATGGCTGTACCAGTTTGCATTCCTACCAGCAGTGCAAAAGGGTTCCTCTTTCTCTGCATCCTCGCCAACATCTATTTCCTAAGTTGTTAATTTTAGCCAGTCTGACAAGTGTGAGGTGGTATTTCATTGTGGTTTTGATTTGTATTTCCCCCACCAGGTGCTTCTAAGGGTGCAGTGTGACTTGGACTAGTGTGGGATAGAGAAGGTGTATTGTAAGAATGAGTGCTGATGCTTTTGGACTGCGTCTCACTGTCTCTCTGGCCCCATCATTGTCCCCTCATTCTTCTGTCAACCTCTATGGTGTTTCTAGTCCAAATCTGGACTGGTGGCATTGGCTCAGCTAAATAACCATCCTTCAAGCAACCCACTTCATCGGTGGCTGTGGATGGGCTTCCCCTGGGTCAGGTGTCCACTGTTGGTCCACTCAGAGGCACTTCTGCATGGTGGCCGGGGGCAGTCTCAGCTGTGTGGCAGCCTCTAAAAGGTTAATTTGTTCAGTGAGTGGTGAGCAGGATATATACCAGAAGACAGGGGACAATAGAATAGTGGAGAAAGGCTTTTGGAAGATGTGAGATCATAGGTTGAAAGATTTACAGGATTTCTCATGTAGAGGCTTGTGGACTGGATCTGTCATGTTGCTTTGGAAGGAAAAGAAAGACAAGGAAATGTAGGTGCTTAAAAAATTCAAATCATTTACAAGATTTGGCCTTTGCCCACCTTTTCAGCTTCATTAAGTGCCACCCTTCTCCTGGAATGGCCTTGGGTGGCCTAATCCCTGTAGACATTCCCATATCACTCTGCGCTTCTCTTGGTTCATTCATGTCACTTTTAACTGTTGGCACCTAATAGACTAGTCTTTTGGGCTTGTTCACGTCTGTATTTCTGTAACTTAGCACGTGTTTCACACATGGATATTAGTATTTATTAGATGAGTGTATTAAAGCCATTTAATAATCATTTGCATTGAAATACATATAATTTCCCCTATTCCACATTCTGTAAGGCATCTTTGTCTTATAGAAAAGACAAGCATATTGATCAGGTACATGGTGATATAATGCTTTTTCCCCCAGTTTTATTGAAGTACAATTGACAAAAGGATAAGCTGCTTAAGTGTACAATGTGATTATTTGATATGCATACATGTTGTAAACGGATTCCTTACAGGTTATATAATGTCAAGGCACACACTAAGGAAATCTAAGTACTTTTATTTAAGAGTCCTTTCAGGGCCACCAGGGGTCAGTATAATCAAAGAAATGTTATGGGAAGCAAACCCAGATCCTATATTGGTCTCTGGTTTTTATCTTTCCTTGACTCCTGCACAGCATTCAGAGATTGTTTATTGCTTTTTATTGAACTCCTTTTTCTTTCAGCAGTGAATAATGAGTGTGGTGGAAATATATTCATTATTTAAATAGTCCACCACTGTACGCCATATTTTTGTTTTTTCTAAGGCAGTGACCATTCTCAGTATAAATTTCAGGGAAGGTGGGGCGCCTGGGTGGCTCAGTCGGTTAAGCATCTGACTTTGGCTCAGGTCATGATCTTACAGTTTGTGGGTTCGAGCCCTGCATTGGGCTCTGTGCTGACACCTAGCTCAGAGCCTGGAGCCTGCTTAGGATTCTGTGTCTCCCTCTCTCTCTGACCCTCCCTGCTCACGTTCTCTCTCTCTCTTTCAGAAATAAATAAAAAAAAATTTAAAAAAGAAAATCATCTAAAAATACATCTAAAAATATGTAAATTTCAGGGAAGGGAAAATATTTATTTCAGAAGAATGTTTCGAAATCCCATTTGTCTCTAGAAAAAATATGGAGTGATCTTAGTATTAGGCTTACCAGAGCTTTGATTTGTAGTGACTGTAATCAGTGTGGCATTCTTTTGTTTTTCTTTAAGTGTTTATTTTGAGGGAGAGAGGGAGGGAGGGGCAGAGAGCGAGGAAGAGAGAATTACAAGCAGTCTCCAGGTTCAGGGCAGAGCCCTGTTCAGGACTTGATCTCACAACTATGAGATTACGACCTTGACTTGAGATCATGACCAGGAGATAATGACTTGAGCCAATATTGAGTAGTATAAAAGGTGTAGGATGGAAGATGGGCCCCTAATTCATTCTTTAATTCTCTAGTGGTGAGACTCTGAGCTATTTACCTTGATTCTTTAGGTAGGTAGCTCTAGGGAGATCTCTGCCTCCCTAGTCTTACTATATCAATTTTTTTGGGAAAAAATTTTTTTACAACAGCTTCTCTGGTCATTTAGATGCACAGCCAGCTTGGGAACCACTCAACTAGGTAACTTTGCCGTTTCTTCTAGTTGTC